ATCGATATGATGAAAATTTTATGATAGAATATTATGTACATTAAATAGTAAGTACCCTAAGTACATATTTTATATCATTAATTAATGTAACAACTTCATTAAAGGGCGTATGCTCACAAATTATGTTAAAAATTAATAACTATATTTTGGTACACATTTTTAATAATTACTATGTATATATGTATTAATTTAATTTTAAAGAATATAATGTTTAATGAACAACCTACATAAAGTTGATATTTAAAGCAATTTTCACGTCAATTTCACACAAAAGTACATATATTCTAATTTATTTGATGCATCTACGATAATTTATAATTAAAGTCAATTATCTACAATAATTGCATTTCAAAGCTGCATAAAATACGCGCGAAACACTCCAAACTCTTTAAAATTTACGATTCGCGCAAGCACCTGCGCGACATGGGGGCACGACAAAGACAAAACATATATCATTCCGTCTGCTTTTGATGGAAACGCTCGCCACTCATTGCGTAGATAGGGAGTCAGCGATATAGGAGATAGCATATATATGGGACTTTAGTTTAATGTAGACAACCAACTGTACATTTTAATTAACGTGGTAACAGCGGAAAACGAAAAAAGTTATAAAAATTACTGAAACGGTAAAACGAGAATCGTGGGCAAGAATAATAAATAAAGTGGAGAAAATAATAGAGAAAAATGGAAAGAAACCTGGCTATGATCAAACACGGGGGAAATCCGGGAAATCCGCTAACTGTAAGATATTTAAAAGAGGATTGGAAAATTGTTTGGTAGCGTTCGGTGAAGAAAATATGAAAGAGAAGAAAGAAGTAGCATTATTTCTACATACAGTAGGAGAACAAGATATGGACATTTACTAAACATTTGAATTCGATGAAAAAGAAAAAACACTAGAGTATCTATATCATAGACAAATTTGATAAATACTTTAAGCCTAAAACAAAAGTTTCATACGAAAGATACAATTTCTTTAATCGCAAACAAAGAGAAATAAAAGCTATGAACAGTACATAACAGTTTTTTGTCTCTCTAAAATTTTTCCAAAAACGACTGATTTTTGAGAAAAAAAATAATAAAGCAAACACTGCCCGTTAAACAACGGGGTTGTCGATCAAAAGTTGGAATGAATTTTTATTGAAAAAATCTTAGTAGGCTTTGCAATCTTTGTCAGAAATATTTTTGACGTTTAAATGTCAGTTTTTTTTACTATTATTATTGTTTTTCAAATTAATTTTGAATGAAGTTCTAACGCATTTACGCTATTTAAACGTCAAAAATATTTGTGGCAAAGACTGCAAAGCCTACTAAGATTTTTTCATTAAAAATTCATTCCAACTTTAAATTAACAACCCTACAGCTTAACAGTTAGTGTTTGCTTCATTATTTTTTTTCTCAGAAATTATTAAATTTTAGAAGAACATCAGAGAGACAAAAAAGTTTTAGAATAGTTTTATCTATCTAACGGAAATTTTTGCAATGTATTTATCATCTTCATAAAAAAAATCTAGGCATAAATTGAACGGGAGTGGTTACGTTTAGTAGTTTAGAAGGGTAGGTTGAAGTACAAATAGGGTCAAAACGTGCCCTATTATGAGTTAAACATATTCCCCAAATTTCATTTTCCTAGCGTTTATTAATGAAACCAAAATTTTCCGCCATTTTTGGAGGGGTGTAGCTCCTTAGAGGGGCCGAAGTCGCCCATGGTTCATATATCAAAGTACCCTTAAAATTCACTAAAGAATCATCCCTTGAAGTTTGTTGCAGTCATTCAGATACAACCTGTATATTTGCCAAAATATTATTTTGCCAAATTTCCTAAATGAATTCACACTTTTTTAATGATATGAGATCTAGTTGTTCACTAAACACTGTTACGTATTTTAATTTTAACACTTTAATTGACTAATTTTAATAACAGCTTATGAAACATAAAATCAGTTTATATTCATTAATTGTTCTCGTTTCTCATTAAGAGTATATTTTATATAAACACTCTATATAATATTTTCCTTATACAAAAGCACATGCGCAATACATATTTTTCACTTTTCTCAAATCTGGTTTTCGAACAAAAAGTTGAATTATTCTTGCAAGATCATCCATTTTATTTCATTTACTTGTAACGTCCGTTCGTTTTATTTTTACTTCAAATTTTAATTTGTTAATAGTTTAAACTTTAATCATTTTTATACAAAATTATAATTTATAATGTATATCCGTCAATAATTTGTGACAGAAAATATTGAAATTTCTTCAAATGTTGATAGTGCACGTGCGTTTTTTTAAACTATGGTTTTTGAATTAACGAGTAAGTTTATCTTTTAATTTTTAACTTGTAACATCAATTAATAGCTTTGTTCGTTGGGACTTGGGACTGCACTACTTGCACTCACTTGCACTAACCAGTTTAGTGCAGATGTTGTGTGTTCGTTGGAGATAGTGCAGTTTAGTGCAGTTGCACTCATACTGTTCATTGGGCCATGTGCAGTGCAATTTAGTGCAGCCGGTGCAAGTTAGTGCAGATTTTGTTGCACCTGCTTTCGATTAAGTTCAATAAGTGCAGTTTAATGCAGTGTAACTAAAATGGCGGAATATTTGAAAGTGTGTTTTGTAAATATTAAGAAATAAAACCTTATAATCATTAATATTTTTTGTATTAGAGAACACAGTATATTCAATCCCAGTAGAGGCAGTAGAAAACAACCCCTACTTTCTGGCTTCATTAAATACACTTGTAGTACATTTAAAAATATGAATTATGTGTTTTTTCTCATTTAGGGGTGGCTGGGGTTAATTACCCTCACCACTCCAAATTTTTTTTTGCAAGTGCTGCTTCGATTTGGTGCAATTTAACATGTGGTTTCTTTATATGTTAAGTAGTACTTTTGAAAGAACTAATAAGGGTTAGTAGTTTGGCGTAGAAAATATATTTCGCTAATAATTGATAAAAATAAAAAATAATAATAATAATATAATAATAATTGATGAATCGCTACTAAAAAAACATTCTGCAATGATTTCATTTTCCACGAGTATTTCGCTGACAATCTCCTGTTCGTCCATTTCAAATTTTTTTTACTTATTTACAATTTTTCTTCCATATCTTGTAGTGTAATTATTAAAATTTTTAACGATTGTTAGCTCGTCTTTTTTAGGAAATTTGGAATAGGTTTCGTGTTCAGGAGGTTGATTTAACATATTCATATTATTGTCTTCTACATTTTCACCTTTTGCAGGCTCTGTTTCACCACTTTCTTCTTCTTTTTGTTTTCTAGCAAAAATATGTTTTCTAATTCATCTTGAACAATGTTAGACCTTGGGATAATACTCTGATTATTATTAAAAGTATTTTCATTCTTTGATCTCTTGTCGTCAAATTTTTTATACGTTTGTTTGTGTCTTTCTAGATTTTTTTATGTCTTCATCAATTATTGTATTATTTGGTTTCAGTCGTTTTAATTGTATCGGAATATTTTTCTCAAGTTTTTACTAAATAAGATACTTGTAGGTATCGACTTCGTTTATTTTTTTGTAGTTTTTAAACCATCGTTCTTCTCTGTCTCTCTGAAATGGTTTTTATCCTACTTGTTTACTTGCCCCTCTCATCTTCCTGTAACTTTGGTGTTTGTCTTCTGAGATATCCTCTGAATTTACAAAATGTCCTGTTTTTTCACATCTGTAACACATTTTTTCATGCGCTGAGCATTTTCCATATGAATGATTTTTCATACATTTACCACACACGTTGCTTTTTCGAATAACTTCTCTAGCGCTTTTTCTTATGTTAAATTGGATATTTTTAACAAATAAAGAAGTGAAAAAAAGCTTCTGAGTTATTTATCTCACTCACAAATATATCCTTAATTAATTGATCTTTAACACTACCAAAGTAACATGTGGAACTATGGGTTTTTAAAACTGTTATGTACTGTTCATAGCTTTCATTTCTCTTTGTTTGCGATTAAAGAAAATGTAGGTATCTTTCGTATGAAACTTTTGTTTCAGGCTTAAAGTATTTATCAAATTTGTCTATGATATTTTCTAGTGTTTTTTCTTTTTCATCGAATTCAAATGTTTAGTAAATGTCGAATTTAAGAATAAACCAGTAAAAAGTACAATATTCAATTAATTCATATTTTTCTTCGTTTACATTAAATTTATTGTAATACTGGTAAAATGGATTACACAATCAATATTGATCATTTTAACACTTTTTGTTTCTCCCCTTTAATTTTGAAAACTGGCAGAACTGTATAAAATGAAATGAGCCTTAAAATCAACATTATCATCCACTATCTCTTGTAATAACACAAAATTTACAAAAATATTATTGTTGGCCATAGTTTTAGGTTATGCTGAACCGCTAATTCTCAATTGCTTGTTCAGCCGATTTCGTTCCGCTGTATCAAGCTCATACGGTGCTGAACGTACCCAATGTCATGCTCTTAATTGATGTATGTAAACAACCATTTGTGTCAAATTGTTAATTGTCATCATTATGCATAAAATTAATAAATTGATTAAAATTAATACTTTATAAAAGTGAAATACTTAATTAACTTTCCACGTGGGCTGTCTACCGTTTTTTAGTTAACATCCGTTACGTTTAAACAAAGAGTTGTTCCTTTAAAGGTTTTATATTTAGCTAACAGAGGTTGATAAAAATTAGCGTGAGTGAAAAAAAATTTTACTCACTCGTTTCTATGAAAGTCAGCAGAATGAATGCAAATAACAACTTTCAACACTCGTATCTAAGTTAGAAACTCACAATTTCGAAGGTAGGATTGAACAAATAATATTAATTTAGCTTAAGAAGGGTGTTGACTTTAGTTTAATAAAGTATAATGTTTTTCAAGCATAATGCGCGCTAGTCTTATTCACCATCAATTTAATGAACTTTTTCAATGTATCTTTCATAATGATTTAAAAATATATTTGACATAATGTCGATCTAATAGGCAATAATTTTAAAAAATTACATTTTAAATGCTTACCTTTTTATATTCTCCACAGAATTTGTTGACCATTTCGTTTATTTGTTGAGCTCTAACCGTCCATAATGTGATTTTGTTACCATTAATATTATTTGATTTAACACTAGAATTGAACTCTAAGGTTAAAGTGGTTGGTCGAGGCGAACTGCAATTTTGAACTTCGTTTAACGGATAGCTTTTCATGACTTGAAGTGAGTTGGCTTGCTTTTTCACTAAATGCAACCCCCAGTGAGAGACAGCCAAAATTTCAACTTCAGACAGCTATAACAGAAAAGAGGACTCACTAATGAAATTATTTGTATATTATAGTTATAAATATCCTATAAGTGTCTTTATAATCCAAAGAATATGAACTAAATTGTAATACATTGAAAGGGCCTTAAATATTGATGTATTTACATCACCACCTCTGATAGATCATTATGATGTTAGAGATTTTGAATTATCTATAACATCTTAAAAATATAAATAAAATTCGTTTTTGCACTTAAATGGATTTTATTTAAATTTTTCTCTCAACCGGTTTCGCTATATATTTACAACATCTTCAGGAGATTACATGCAAGTTGTTATCAAAGTTGATTTCTTGAACAACTTGCATGACACATCAATTCTTAACACAATTTTTAATCCTCTTCAATCATAATTCAACAGAATTCTCTGTGCAGTTCAATAGTTCAAATATAAAAAGAAATACCAAATGACTCATTCTATAGGACACTTTTGTAACAAAATGACGTAATCTCCTGAAGATGCTGTAAATATATAGCGAAACCGGTTGAGAGAAAAAATTTAAATAAAAATCCATTTAAGTGCAAAAACGAATTTTATTTATTAGACATAAAATGGAAAGAAAATCATCAAACAATATCTTAAAAATATAATTACCTGTGCTGCACCAGATACTTTGAATAAACGGGCAAAGTACAGCGGCCAATTGCGAGCCATTTCCACGATATTTCGCTTAATGTTTAACCCAAACGATGTTAAAAAATTATTTAAATCGATTCCAAAATTTACTAGAACAGTTTTTCCACTTTTCTTTTCATTTTGGTTCAACCTTGGGCAACTAGTTGTACCGAAAACATCTAAAACCACTTGGCAGTAAATTAAATGAATCGTTGATGGGGCGCCTAAAGTTTCCAACGGACGAAACACTTCTTTCCTTAATCTCAGAACCCACGAGACTCGATTGTAGGTTAAAAATGGTGTTTGATTTAGATTTAAAATATTAGATTTTGTAGCATTATAGATAGGTTTTGTGGCTTTAGGTGAATCTGGTGGAGTTGGTAATAAAAAGTCTGGCGTTGTGTCCCAGTTCTGACCGCTCTCACCAATTACATCTTTTTCGGTATGTAATGTTGAAACAGATGATTTTTTTCTGCTGAATTGATGATCTCTGAACGTAGGATGTCTCTTTTCCCATCTGAAATATTAAATCATATTGAATTAAATTTCATGAAACAATTTTATTACAATTTACAGGTTACTTACCTTTCATCTTCTTCATTTCGCCATATTTCTTCGTCGTCTAACTGATCAAACTCATTTAAACCACCTTCAATACTTCGTTTTTCTTCCAAATCCCAAACTGAACTAACTGAATTGCGCATTAAACCTCCGTGGGACATATTCGCAGTACTTTGGTGTTTTTCAATCCCTTTTTGATCTTTCTCTTTAGTAAGACCTTCCTTATAAGATTCATTAGACGCCGTATCTTTGCTAGGTTTGGATTGGAATTGCTCATTTAAGTCATTTATTTCATTAAATTGAGTATGTTGTGGTCGTATTGGTGGTGGAGGTGCCGGAATTTGTGGCGCTGGAGGTAGAAAAGTACTCATGCTTCGTGAATTTGGGCCGATTGGAGGTGGAGGAGGTGAAATTTTAAAACTAGATTGTGAATTTGCAGAGAAAATCGGATAATTTTGATGAGACTGTTCGTTTTTGTCAATTTTTGAATTGACATTCATCTTAATTTCACTAAATCCACTTTTCGAATCATTTTCTGGATCAAAATCGTCAAATATTTGGGAGTCTTGCTCGAATTTTCCTCCTAATTGACGTTCCAACATTAATTTTCGGGTATCTTCAAGTTTATTTACCGTTCTTGAAGGTTTTTCATCGTTTTTTGATCGAACCGAATGGTTAAAAGTGACTTTTTCTAGTCTTTGACGCATCTCGGAACTTAATTTTAATTTTCCAATGCTTCCTGGACTGGGTCTACTTGCTCCAACATCGAAACTACGTTTGTTACTAGATTTTGATTGATTTTTTTCCACAGAGATACCTGGTTGTATTGATTTCGATTGAGTTGTAGAAGTTGAAACGTTCGTTTCAAAGTCGATTTCATCCCAATCGATAGAACTTTGGGAAGTCACCATTGCATCTGAACGAATCTAAGGAAAGATTTTTAAAATTATTACTCAATTATGACAAATTCGTAGTCTAACCTATTATCATGTTTTTTTTATTTATTAATTGACCATTGTGTGATTAAGGATTATATGTTTTAAAAGTTAAACTGATAAATCTGAACGTCATTTATTTAACAGTAAAACATACTTTATCTATAATTGACATGAATTTGTCAATGTTTGACATTTTTATGTTGAGATGCGTAACGCAAATCAGTCGAAAAAGACAAATAGTCGGTGTTCAATGTTTCATTCACTTCAAGAGGTATAGAATAAATGTTTTAGTACCTATATTAGCGCAATATTCAATTTTTTTCTAAATCAGTAAGTTCAAAATACTAATTGTTATTACATATTTCTAAATTAGTATCAAACATTTAGCATAATAGTTAGTATACAGAAATCGTTTGCTTATAATGTCAATACTTTGGACACACACAAATGCGCTGAAGGACATCTCACCTCAGTACCAAAGAAAGAAAACAAGCAACAACGTAAAATGCGCAAATTGCGAACAAAACCATGCGGCCAGCTATAAAGGATGTGTTGTTTATAAAAAATGATGTAGCACAACCACCAATAAAAAAACTTTTAAATAATACACATTAGTTAGGCACAAACGACATCTCAGTTTACTACTAAGAGTGTTCTAAATCTTAACTAACAGCCTGAACCATTTAACCCTATCAAAATTAATGGCGTTCATCTAATAATTTAGAACAAATTGTTCATAAAATAATTGAAAATGGAGAAACTGCTAGGTCTGTTAATGTCTCTAGTTTTTTAGCTGCATATTCAGTAAGATCAAAATTGGAATCTGGAACGCCAACGGCCTAATGAAACGTTACCAGGACCTCAATAAAATTCATATGACAAATAAGAGCTTCTTTAAAATGCCAAACAATTTCATGTAACACTCCCAGGTAAAGCTCAGGGCGGTACTACAATAATTATAAAAAATAACATTAAACACCATGAAATTGAAAAAAATCTCTCACTCAAATATTAAGGGGGGAAGTACATTTAGACGACCTAAAATAAGCGCATTTTCAAGTTATTTTTTCGCGAAGTTGAAATTAGTTTCAAACCTTTTTGATACCCACTACTATTTAGTGATGCTTTGACTATAAAAATATGTATTCACATATTCTAAAACTTTTATAGGCGAACGGCAAATAGTGATCAGATAGGGGAACGTTTCGGAGCGAGCGGTTCCGTTTCAAACATTCTAGCATTCGCTACAGTGGTTAGAATTACTTGCGAATGCATTTAAATTGTTCCCAACATTCATATCTTCTATGTGAACCAAAAAAAAAGTTTAAAAAAACTAAGCATTTAAAAAATACAGGTGTTTTAAAATAATGTTATAATTTTTTAAGAAAATATTGATATATAAATTAATAAAAAAGTAATTTTTTAAAATAACTTATGTATACTTAGAGGTTCAAATAGAAGGTGATATTACTATTGATATGTGTAACAAATTTAATGAAAATCGGTCAAGTAGTTTATTAGTTATCGTGCTTATAAGGTGTAAATACATTGATTTGAGAAAAAGCGCGTTAAAGTTTCAAGTTGTAAAAACAAATTTTTTTCAATCACAAATAACTTGTTGGCTAGTCTGCAATACCCGGACCATATAACAGACCTTCAGCTTCTTCATAAAATTCACTTTCGATCGCCAACTTGTCTTTTTGTGCTTTTCGAGCTTCTTTAAACACAGATTCGTTACGTCGTTCCTGCCGAGTAATTCGATGTTCGTCCATTTGTTCAGCGTATATTTTGGCTTGCCTCCCAATAATTAAATTTAATTTACTCATCATTTCCAATATGCTACTGTGTCCTTCATTAAATAAACTAGCCGCAATATATGTACTAATTTCCACTATTTTTAAGCCAGAATTCAGGTGCTTTGGAGCCAATCGCCAAATAGTAGAGTTGAAACTTTCATTGGCATTTTGAGTGTGGCCCCCCAAACATCTTATTAATAAATTTTCTCTGGATAAATCTTCATAAATTGAATATATGTGTTTCTGAACATCTGGATGCAATGGCGCTGGATGCTTCATAAAGGAATCCGATAGATTTGATTTAGCTTTTTGCCACTTGCACCAGCTCTCGGATCCTGACGGACAATATTGGTGATTTGGATGTTCATCTGTAGAGCACATGTGGTAATAAGTAGCCATTATCGCTTTTTTCATATCCTCTGCACTGTTGATATTTCTACGGATAGCAAGACCGTAATATGTCGTAAGTTTTCTGATTAGAGTATCTGTCAATTTTCCTTTTCCGCCAAGTTTGTATGTTTTTTTTATGTTTCGTAGTCGGGAGCCCATCCTCTTTTCAACATGTCCAATACATTCATTTTTAATTACTGGAAAATCGTCGCCATATGGGTTTTGTTCTAAAATTGCTTTGAACGTTTTGGAATCTCCGTCCCCTATAGTTGCCGTATTTTACACCAAACTTTTCTTCGGATCTCAAAAACATCTCTACAATTGCATCGACTTCCATTTTACCGGCAGAACCTTCGTGAGTTTTCATGCAATTTTCTTTATGTTCTTCATACCAGTCAATATATTCTTCTGTATTTTCTTTATTTTTATAAAATGTACAGGCTTGACAATAACTGCTTTTTACAGCTACATCAATAACTTTACCAGAATAGTACCCAATAATCGATGTTACGCCGTATAATGATTTGAATCCGCGCTTTTTCCAAGAACCATCACCAGATACTTTTAAATTCAAGATTGACCTTTCTTGCCTTTCGTTTACTTTCTTTTCTTCTTCAACAGCTTTTCCGCTGAAATATTCGAACACCGATTTGGTGGCTAAATACTGGTGTTTAACAATATTATTGTATGCACTATTACTCAAACCGTCGCATATATCCATAAAATTGCAAAATAAATTTATTCCTTGCCTCCCAATGCCCAGCAGACGCATAACAAAAACAATTCTACGATTTATTTCATAACCAGTTTGAATTAACGGTCCCGAATTTATGTCTCTTCGGCCACAACGACAAAGCAAAACGAGCTTGAACCCAAGACCTCTCATTCCATCTACCTCAAATTGTATGGTATCTTTACATTTGCAACAAATAACAACATTAGCCAAAGCACTGAACACGGTAAAAAACTCTATTAAACGATACGAATGTTGACTATTCGGTGCAATATGTTCAGTACTTCCAGTGGACAGTTTTTTGCACTTGAACTCTGTCCTGCAACTTCTTCTTCTTCTTTTTTAGTGTGCTGATTCCCATGAAAATGACGTTTTCGCGCCCTAGACGCATTACTACATTTCGGATAGGAAGACATTTTGAATATTAAGAATTATATCTCACATTCAAGACTAAAGAAACCCAAATTTGGTGTTTTGAATTTATGCTATCAGTATAATATCCGATTTAGTGGAAGGGATGAAAATAAAAACAATAATAGATTTTTCCCGGCGATAATTATTGCCAGTACTATTTCTCAGGGTCGTAAAAACCATGAGAAATATCGGAAACTATACGACAATTTAAAACAACATCGATTTTTATGACCATCATAAATAAAAGTCGGCCAGACAAGAACAGGATCGAATTTAAATTCGTTGAAACTAAAATTATTTTAAACCTATTATTTTTCTACAATTTGCAATGAAGGTGTGTTCCTTAATGCGGCCCCTAGTGAATAATCCTGTTTTTGTCCATTTTATTCCCACAGAAGTAAAGAGACGGAGTTATAAAAACCGGGAAAACTTATAGATTGTTATCTATAAAGTACTTTTTAAGGGTTATAACTTCTACAATTTAATTCATTTGAAATTAAAACTTCATAGAATCAAGAGCTTAAACAAGATATTACTATAAAAATAATCGATTTTTTTGATCACGTGAATCACGCGAGAGTCGCATAGTTTATATGTATTATATTCACGAAGAACGCGCACCGAGAAAATACGCTATTTTAACGGAAGTACTTAGAATTTCGCTTTAAAATTTTGCTATCGCATTCTTAAGATGTTCAGGCAACTTTTTATGGAAAAAAAAATTTTTGAGTTTTTTGACGGTTCTAAATGAATTTCCCCCCTTAAAGCCATATCTGTGAGTGTCTCAACAAAAGCATCTCTGAAGAAAAATTAAATTTAATACTGATGTGAAGTTATCCATAAATCCCAGCCATAAACTTAAAACATTCATAATTCCGTAACCAATACTATCGAATTTAATTAATTATTATTGGTGTATTTACTCTGAATTCAACCATGAATTCGAAGTAAAGCAGCCTATTTTCAAATATAATGGTTAGTGTAGCCTTAACTGAGTTCGAAGTGAGCACTTTACTTCAGTCATGTCCGATGATACAAAATTCGTGCGATCAATCGACATTTTGTTGTTGTAATGCGATTTTTGAGAATCAGTCATGAAATCCTTTTCGTAGTCAAATGAGCATATCTTCTGGCATCGGAAATTCAATAAATGCAGCAACCTTACAGAATATTCACACAGCTGTATCAGCTGTTCATGAAACTGTTCTGCCATTTACCTACATTAAGTTTGCTGCCTTGATTTTGATGTTCAACACTTTTATTATTATGCCCACAAGACATCAACTTACGGTCTTGGTAGTAGCGCCTAGACCGCAAGCGACCTTGGCATCTAACTCCATAGGATGCTGGACATAAAACTTCGTTGCCCAAAAATTGCAGTAATTAAATGCTAATCAGGAACATAAAAGTATTAATCACAATGGAGAAGACAGTCAAGTCGAGGCCGCTTGCGACCGAGGTGGCCTAACTTTGACGTTTAACAACTTATTATGTCCACATGACATCAAGTTACGGTCTTTGTAGCAGCACGTCGGCTGCAAGCAACCTTATCATCTATCTTCGTAGGATGCTAAAAATAAAATTTCGTAGTCTATAAATTGCAGTAATTAGCCACTAATCCATGTCGCAAAGATGATAGAAATAGCAACGAGTGTGAGAAGGAAATAAAACACAAATGGTTAGGCAGGGCGATTATTTTGTGGAATGATACCAAAAAAATATGCTAAAAAGCAACCCAACATCATCGAAGAATATAAGAATTAATTATTGTGAATTAGGGATACGCAGGAATTGTGAAATGAGTATAACAATTATATGTTTTGGATTAGAATCTTTTATTCTGGGTGGAATGATATTGAAAGATGAATAATGGTGATTATTAAACGAATGCATGAAGTACAAAACAATTTCCAAGATACGTAGAACTTTCTTTGAAAAATATGAGAGTATCTATTTCAGTAAATCTGTAAATAGAGAAATCTTGTGATATTAGCAGTGATATTTTTGAATCGCCTCTAAGAATAACAGAATTATTTTTTATTGAAAATATTATTTGTTTAAAAATGCAAAGATTTTTAAAAGCTGCAATACATTATCCAACGCACTTTGCTAATCAAAGACACTCTCCTCAACACTGTAGTATATTTCTTAATAATATTGATCTAAGCTAGTGGAGAGAAGGGACATATTTAACAATAAAAGAAAAGAGCAGAGTATTGGCGTCTTTTAACAGAAGCTAAATACCTAGGGGTAATACTTGACAGTAAACTAAACTGGAACTCACACTTGGATAAGGTGAGGAAAAAGGCCATCATGGCAAACCAGATCTGCCGCAGGCTCCTAGGAAGGAATTGGGGTCTCAAACCACGAATGGCTCATTAACGCCTACGTAACAATAATCAGACCCATGGTCGCCTACGCCTCATTGGTTTGGTGGCCAAAAACAAAACATAAGACAGCACAACAACAGCTGGCACAAATCCAGCGGTTAGCATGTCTTAACATAACGGGTGCAATGAGATCCTGTCCGACGGCTGCTTTGGAAGCCCTACTCGGTCTCACACCGCTCCATTTATATATACAAAAGGAGGTATCCTTTTATAAGATACTTAATATCTTATCACTGAAAACAGTTTCTTCAATTAAGTTGATGCAGGGTAACCTCAGACGACACCTCGAGATCCTCAAGGACCCATGTCTAAATCACCTGATTGAAATTAAAACGGACCTCATACCGACAGAATACAATTTCAACCAGCAGTATAAGGTCATATTTAGAAGCAGGGATGATTGATACACCGATGCTTCAAAGACAGTAAGATCCGGAGTAGGCATGGGCATCAGTGGACCAAGTAGCCACATCAAATTGCCCCTCAGCTCGGACATAACAATTTTCCAAGCAGAAGTTCTTGCTATAAACTTCTGCACCGCTTTGAACCTACAGAAGGGACAAAAAGGTGCATCCATAAACATTTTCACAGACAGTCGGGCCGCCTTAAAGGCAATTCAGGCCTACACGTGTGACTCCGCGCTGATCAGAGAGTGTACCAGCAACCAGAGAGAACTCGCTAGGGATGATGTTACTCTATGGTGGGTTCCAGGTCACAACATAATTGAGGGCAATGAGAAGGCGGACAAGCTGGCCAAAGAGACCGGCCATGCGCCCTTAAAATACCACCTCTTCCACATTGGACAAGCTGAGGATCAAACTTGTCGACTATGCAACGACGAGTCAGAAACTGCTGAACATATACTGTGCAATTGCGTCGCCAGAGGCCATCTAAGACACAACATTTTCGGTAAAACTCTCCTGTTACTTACCGACATAAAGGTTCAAGACCTCAGGACAATACTAAGGTTCATCAAGGACCTAAATTTGCCCTAAACCTTTGGAGGGCTAAAGTTACAATATATCTTATAGGTCGCGGTAACGAGAGGGGCCGCTCTCCTCAGCCCGGCAGCAATAATAATAATAATAAGTCTCGGTCCACGGTACCATAAATTTTACTGACATTTAATTTTTCTTAATTTTTGTCCTAAATAATGAATAAATTACATCATATGGAATAAGAATCGTTAAAAATAAAACCATAAACTTGGTTCTATTTCTAACATTTTTGGAAATTATTCGCAAACTGTAATACAAAATTTATTTGAAATAATCACCATCTGGCCTTAAGTAGGGTGGCTTAATACATATAGAATTTGGAGTTTCTATCTTGAAATTTAGACGTGAAAAAAGCCTAGACCACAAGCGATGGTATACCTATATATACAGTGTGTCCCTGGATAGATGAAACGACTCTTATAAAATGTAAATTTTTTTCGATATTAATTGTCATCTTTTGGGGTTCAGCCCTGCTTGGTTAAAGACTAATTGTGAATATATTTTCAAGTTTAAAAAAACAAGTGAGTGTTGACGCTGAAGCGAAAACTTCTTGTGTGTCAGGTTAATAAGAAATTTTATTCAGAATGAAAAGTTATGGCCTTATGCAAATTGAATACGAGCTATTTTCTAAGTGGGGTAAATCATCAATAATTTAAATAATTATAAAAAAGGTAAAAAATTGGAAACAATTTATAATTATTGTACTTACATTTTCTTTTCCTGGTGTTATTTTCCTTTGAACCTGCTGCCTCATTTTGAACTGCATATAATCTTCTCCACCCGGATGATGATGATTCGAGTTTCCCTCATCCTTAGGCGGAGGCCAACGCCATTTACCAATTCTCACAGTTTTAGCCCTTCCATAAGGATCCATAAACGGACGCTTCTCGATGTCATCGGTATCGTGAATAAGAAAGTTTGGCATTGGAGGAGGAATCGGCACTAAACCACCTTCAAGACTCAACATTTTGGCATCTTTAATATCTTTTGATTCATCAAAACTGAATGATGACCGTTTAAAATGACTTTGACTAGTTAATTCGTGTTCTTTAAAATGAGTTCTGGTATCGATTTCGAACGTTTCCAGACTCTTACCAACATGACTTGTATTCCTTGTAACCTTAGAGCTTTTATCATTAATTTCTTCTCTTTGCTCACTTTTTGATTCTTTAAATTCTTCTTTGTTTTGCTGTTGTCGATGCAATAGTTGTTGTAAAGCTTGGTTTTGAGCCAATAGTTGCTGTTGAATTTGAATATTTTGGGCCATGGCCGATTGTAAAAATGCTCTTTGCAAATTCTGATGGAAGGTGTCTTCAGTTTGCATATTTTGGACATTGTAAATCGTTAAAAGATCTTGATTTTGAAGTAGCGGAACTTGATTAGGTATTAGAGGCATTAATAACGGCGTTGGTGAAACCATTTGAAGTGAGTTTAATGGATTTTGCAGCGAATTTGATTGGGTAAGATTAGATTGAATTGATTGGATGGGACTTTGGATCGTATTTAATGGGTACTGAAACGAATTTGATGTATTTGGTGGATCATTTGAACCACCTCCCTTGATTTTGTTAGATAAAATGTGAGTTTGAGTGAGGTTTTTTAGATTGGTATTCACAGCGAGTGGTTGGAATAAGTCGGAGATGTTGAATGTTTGGTTGATTTGATCATTTTCAAACGAATTAGAATGAGTTTGTTCTAGTTGATGATGACTTCGAATTTCACTCAAATTTTCGATATTATGAACCATAGGTTGATTATTTTTGTTTATTTCAGTTACAGGTTGATCTTCGTTGATCTGATACATATTTGGGATTTAAGTCAATTATAGATCTAGTCAAAGCAAAACGATTTTAAATTGATTTAACACAAATTATACTTTTACTTTCCGCATATTAAGAATTAATTAATTGTTGTGATCCTATCATTGCCGGACCATATAACCTGTAAACAAATAGATTCGTAAATAAATAACTTTAGTTTTAATTTATCAATTATTTAATTGTTGTTTATTATTTAAGTTGTTTGCGAGCTAAAATATGCAAATTAGCACGGATGAAAAAGTCGAAGTCTCAACTACCTGCATTAAAATGGAAAAATCAGAAAAGTGTAGGTACGTTAAATGGTTAACGGGACAAATCGTGATACTAACACAACATAACTTTCTATTCGGGCTTTCATACTGGAAACAAAACAGGAAAAACGCGAGATTCTGAAGGTCACAATGTGTTAATTGACACGCATTCCTAGAATACCTTAAAGAATATAATGTTGTTATACACATTTTATTAAGTATTAAATATGTAAAACTACTGATATTAAAAACAAAATATCCAATGTGCGATTCGTAAGCTAACTTCCTCCATTCTCATTTTTTTCAAAAACCGATCACGTATCAGAAAAAAAAATTGGCAACGTTTAATTTATATTCATTGTTTAGCGTCCGTTTAACCGTTGTTAACTGTTTTAACGTTCCTATTCTTGTATTTTTGAGGTTAAAAATGTAATATTCCACATTCACATACGTATTTCTATTCCTAATCTACTAATAATAAAATTAAAACTAGGTTAACATTGCGGCGGAAGTTTTAATGTATGAATGAAATCATATGTTCCTTTAAATTAATGAAAGCACTTAATGTATTTATGATTTGAAATAAAATTTTAATAACATATTATAATTCATATATTAATTCTAAAAAAAATGATTTAATAATTAACCTAAATCGATGTGATAAATATCTTCGTAAACAATTATATTTCTTTAAAGGTTTCTTTCTTTGCTTAACGTTAAAATTACCTCAACTTTCGTAACTTTTAATTACAATTTTTTCCGTTTTATCATATTTTATTTAAATCATAGCTATAAAAAGAAGATATGCGATGACACTCACCGGAATCAATTCGATCACACCTTATGGTTTACACACACCTTAAACACACCTTAACTGTTATCTGAATGATTCAAAGAATCAAACTGGTCAAACACTTCTTGCGGTCTGGACAAAATGTTACGTCATAATATATTACAACTTATTTTAAACTTAAAAAAATAGTACGCGTTAATGTGCTTAAAAACGTGTGAAATTGTTATATTTATGGTAGCGAATTTATGGGCGTCACCAGATGTGGGTTTGTTGACATCGACTGACCTCGAACATAAGAAGAAAATAAGAAATTCCCCAGAAATCACTAAATCCATTTTTGCAGGCTATTTCAATTCGTGGCCTGTAGATGGCGGGGTATGCTACACACAGTAGCTGTCGCAGATTTGGAAGAATTGCTTCGATTCCTTGTGGTCGATTATAGTACCGGAACGGGTGAACTGTTTTATATTATTATAATATATATTTTATACTTACAATATATTGTAATATAATTGTATTTTATACTTACAATAACTTGTAATAAGTAATTAATAATACTACACCTTTATGATAGTGTCAAGAGATGGCGTTAATACAAAAAAAAAATAAATAAAAAAAGTCATGGAAACAATAAAAACAAAAGATAATAAACAAATGTAAAAAAGATAAGACGGTTTTTTTAAGAACCCGATCAAAAATTAAATAAAACATGAAAAATGAAAGAGAAAGAAAAATAAATAATAATAAATTAAGAAGAAAGACGAAAAAACCAAAAGATAATAAATAAAGAAGAAAGAAAATAATTTTGGTTTAAACCTGCACAACCCGAGATATTTTATTGTAAATTTAAAAATTGTGTTTTGTTAAAAAGTAAAATTGAAATAATAACGATCATCACAATTTTTTGGCGCCTAACGTATAGCTACTACTAGTTTTGGAAATGAAAAGTAACAGACAAACATGTTGGACATGATTAAAATCTTAATGAAAAATAATAAAGATATCAAAAAAAAATTTTGAAGAGAATAGACTTGAAATGAAACAAAATTTGGAACAAAAATTAGAAGAAAACAAGATTGAAATGAAAAACAATTTAGAAGAAAACTGAATGAAAATCAGAAGAAATTTGATGAAAAAATATATGAATTAAGGAAAGAAAACAGATCCACTAGAAAATAGCAATGAAGTCATGCAACGCAAAATCAATAATTTAAAAAAAATATATCTCAACTTTGATGAAAAATACAATGCTTATATGTAGAGAAGAGAGTAAAAGAAAAATGCAAAATCATTTTAGAAGAAGGAAACGAGAAGATTAAAATTATAAATGACCAAACTATTCAAACTAATCTAATGACAAACAACGACAGATAGACAGAGAAATTGAATTGATTGAGGACCAAATTAAGAGGAATATTGGTGGTTTATCTTGGATATACTATTAATCAAATGGAAATTAAAATGGATACAAGAAGAGTAGAACAAATTAAGAATTTTCCAAAACCGAGAAAAATAAGGGATATAAAGATCATTTTTGGGATTTCTAAATTATTATCATAAATTCGTTAAATTCGTATTTATCATAATACGCTATTAAAACGACCTTTAACTTACGATTAAATTAATTAAAAAAGATACAATTTCCAAGACCTGAAACAATCGTTTATTAAAGAAATATTATTATATAGACCTAATTTTAATTTACCATTTAAGTTGAAGTGAGAGTTGAGTCAGATTCAAAATGATGTCGAGGTTCTTATACAAGCTAGAATACTTAAACCATGTGAAATTAAATATTCCATAACAAAGGAAATGCTTGCTATTATTTATTCTATTTCTAAATTACGACATTATCTGTTAGGAAAACATTTTATAATAGAAACTCATCTCATCAGATCATATAGCACTTTTAAGTTTGATAAACGGACGTATTGATAATAATAGAGTTTATAGATGGAGTCTTATGTTAAATGACTATGGTTTTGAAATTTATTATAAACCAGGAAAAGAACTGATAGTTTCAGATATTCTAAGTAGGAAATTTATTCAAAAATCATCTGCTGAAATTATTATATCCAGTATAACGTTATTTAGAAGAGGATTTTGTTCAATAAAGAAGATTAAAGAAATTCAAGGAAGACTTAACTATTAAAGATTTGAAACAAGTAATTTTAGAAAAGGGTGAATTTAAGGGATTAAACATATAAGATGGATTTTTGAAAAAGAAAATTGGACAGAAAACCTCGTTTCATCCCGATTCACATAAATTGGCAAACTTTAGATTTTTAATAAATAGAACTCTGAATTACCCCTTAAATGAGGAAAATAAAATTGCAGAATTTCATTATATACAGAAACTTGCTACACAAAACAACTTTCCTTTAAAAATTTTAAATCAATTATACAATAGGATTATACAACGGACAAGGGAAGATACTGATCATGTTTACAAAGCAATTCCTTTTAATTTCATTACTAATGAAGCTAAACATATTTTTTCAAAATTTGGTATTGTTTTGGCCTTCTCTAATAACAACACTATTCTTAATTTATTCTCTAATTACCATGAGAAACGAGATTCTATGAGAGAATGTGGAGTTTATTCTATTGATTGTTCGGATTGTGACTCATTATATATAGGGCAAACAGGAAGAAAACTTGAAACTAGATTGGGAGAACATAGAAGTCAAACTAATTCAAATGTTTATAAACATAGATTGGAGACAGGTCACAATATTGATTACGATGGGGCGAAAATCTTACATAAGTGTCAAAAAGGATATAAAATGGATTTGTTGGAAATGTTCGAAATTTATAAGTATAATAATAGAGATGACATAACATTGCTTAACGAACAAATACAGATATACTACAAGCCACTTTTTACTTTTTTAAAAAGATTTTAATAATAATACATTAGTTTATTTCTATTTATATTTCCCCACCCGTCCCTATTTAAACCTGCTGGTTATTGTAAACCACTTTTTTCTTTCTCTTATTTTGTATATTCGATTCAGTCTCTTTTCCTCCCAACCACGCTACATTTTAAGTTTGGAACTTCTTTGTTTTAAAGTTTAACTTTATTTTAATGTTTTTCATTTTTCAAAAATATTACATAAGGTTTTAATAGTTTTGATTTTGTTTGTTTTTAATATGTTCGTGAATGATATGATGTTTCTTCGACTTTTACTGTTCAAGTCTCGAAATTTGACTGTAAGTTTTTGCCATTTATATATTTTTATTTTTGTTTTATGTCTTTCAATTTGCTTTAATTCATTTTTCGTGCTAATACAAGAAATCTTTGTAATTTCATGTACAGTTTTCAACTGATGATGAGAGAACACTCTCCAAACAAACTTGTAACACCGATACAACTTTAAATGGATTGAATACATTTTTCGGCGAATATGGATGCTATTTTATCAGACAATGCAACATACTTCAATAATGAAAGATATAGATAAAATTTAAATGGAATCGGAATTAAAACGTTTTACATAGCATTCGTTATCCCCAAGGAAACCCCTGTGAACTATCAAAGAAGTGATTAAGTATTTAAGAATTTGATCATCACATTTGGATTAAAAAAGTATCATTAATAGAGAAATTATTAAATAATACACCGAATACAACACATCAAGAATGTCATTCTTAATGACTGAAATACCTCCTCCTTGACTTTGGAAAGATGAAGAAGTAGAAAATTTAGAAGAAAGAATGGAAAAAGTTAAATGCAAATTGATTAAAAAAGCACAATACCGGAAGAGACAACAGAAAAATAAAGAAAATGATCTTCAACATAAATGATTTAGTACTAGTTAAAATAAGAAGAGTCACCGATAAAAGAAATAAAGTTGTAGCCAAACTAATGAAAACATATAATGATTCATACAAAGTAATTGATAAAAATGATGATACGTATGAACTTTATGACTTAAATTCAAAAATTGAAATAGGGGAATATGTATCTCTGTTATGTAAATATGAAACTTAATTTTGATTTATAAACACGAATTTTGAAGTGAGATTATACAGGGTGTATCAGGTATGAGTAGAAAAAATTGGAGGGGTTATAGGTCCCCTTTTTGTGAATAAAAAATTCTTATATCACAATGTCCCATTCCTTGCCATTCTTAAGATATGATACGATAAAGTTAAGGGTTTGAAAGTTTAAGTACTGCTGTATAAAGAATTATACTAAGCAGGCTTTGCTTATGTATATAGCTTTAATTTGACACATAAAAGTCATTTTTGAGATATTTTTAGAGGTTGTTTACTTTATACGAATAAATTTATCACTTCTGTTTTATCACTCTTTAATGTGAAAATTTACAAAAATTTAGGTTTTAATAAATAAACTTGCTTATTGTATTAAAATTAACAAAATTAGAAACAAATTACAAATTGTAAAGCAAAGCCTGCTTAATATAATTTATTAGCCAGTAGTACTCAAACTTGTGAACTCTTAACTTTATCGTATCATATCTTAAGAAGGACAAAGAATGGGACATTGTGTTATAAGAATTTTTTATTCAGAAAGAGGAGACCTATAACTCCTCAATTTTTTTCTACTCATACCTGATATACAGCCTGTACATATATAAGATAGTTTAAGTCGTAATTATTATATCGATAATATAGAGTTAATAATTAAGATATGTTTGTATTGTAAAATTTCTGTCGTTTACGTTTGTAAATTTTATAATCTTGAATATGGGGAAGTTGTAATATCCCACACCTTCATGATAGTTTCAAGAGATGGCGCTAATACAAATAAAAAAATTAAAAATAGAAAGAAGTCACGGAAACAATAAAAAAAGATAATATATTAATATAAAAATAAGACGCATTGTTTAAGAATCCGATAATAGATAAGAAAATATTATATTAAAAAACTAGTTTCGTAAGACACGCTTGAAATGCACTAATTAAACGAGTGGCGAAGCTACGAGTTTTTTAATGAATGTGAGTGTTTTAACTCTTATGAAACGTGTTTTTTATGCTATTTTTTGTAATTCGCGTTTTTATCCTTTTTTTTTCACAAAAATAAAATAAATTTTGACAATGTAAGGCACACGTCGATCAAAATCGTCATCGGAAAGCTCATGCACCAAGTGTACTTTGTAGGAGTGATATTTTTTTCTTTTATGAAATCTTGATATTGTGCTTCTAGATGTATTTAAATTTGCAGCAATATTGGAGATGTTTGAATGCGGATTTTCCTCTACACTTAACAGGACATCCAATTGACGGTCTTCATTTAAGGCCAATGGAAATTTACTCTCAATTCCACTTGTTATCGATG